CATTGTAATGCGCATTGAGCATCTTTTAGGAAATGGAAATGCGCAGTAAAAATGCTATTTATTATTATTATTATTATTACGGTCAATCATAGTGCACAAGGGAGACGTGAGCCCTACATCACCGTAGCAGTGAAGGGATTAAACATGATAAGAAAAATAAAACAAAAAGCGCGCAGACAGAGTGAATAGATTATGCGAAAGAATCTGTGCACCAGCTTGTGCGTGCCTGTTTGTGAACTCAGAATACGATGAAATAATGGGATAAACACGAGTAGATCTAAGTACTTGTAAGTCATTAAGTGTATTTTTTTAACGCCACTATAACACAATAGACACACATGAGTGTAAATCATCAATGCGAAGCAATGTCAACCATCCTTAACGGTTTTTAAAAAATTGGTGAGAAGATGGGAGATTGCACTCAACAATATTCGCTGACCAGGCATAACATGTATTCAGTTTGAACGCTCAGCGTTTTTTATTTCTCCTTCTCATCCTGTCTCTGGGGAAATGCAGATAACATTTGGAGGTGGTTTTTTGTGTGCACCATCTGGTGTCTCTAAGACAGATTCTCAAAAAGACTAAGATCTTGTTTTGACGGGGTTGATTAAGATTCGGATCAAAATTATTGATTTTGGGATCAGCCTCTCTGAAAACTTTTTAATCTCCTAAGAACCCCCTAAACCATTATTTTATCGCATATCACGCTTGTTAGTCACCACCATATCCTCATAAAGTCAATCTTTTTTTCTTCGTTACCGCCCGTTTTTTCAAAACGCGGTTTTACTATACATGTATACATGTAGTTGGGTTGTTGTTTTTTTAATTTCCACCATTTTTTAAATCCAATCTTCATGAAACTTCCACAGAATGAAGAGAAGATGTAACATTAAAAATGGTCTATTAAATGTTAAATACATGTACAGGGAGTACATTTTTGCTGGTGGTGTCTGGAGTATAGACTTTCACAGATTTTTTTGTAATCTTGAATACTACCTAAAAAAAAATTCATTAAAATTTTTTAAAAATTTGATTCGTTTAAGAGAAATCCAACAAAGTGTTTTGTAGAACTATTATTTGCTAACATACTTGCAAAATAAAAACCTATTTCCATCGAAAATAATTGAGGTATTAACTGTATAAGACATGTCAACAAAATCCAATATGGCCACCGTTTCCATGACAACGAAACTTTTTTTTCTCTAAAATTTGAATGCAGATATAAAGACTTTTTACTATGCTTGTTATATGTGGGAAAGTAAGTAAAATTTGATCGACAAATAAGCGAGACAGCATTCATGTGTAATCCCCCCCCCCCTTGCCCTCTCCTTACATGAAAACACAAAACCTAATATGTATAGAAAAACAAAGCAAAAAAAACCCCAAAACAAAACATAGGTCAAAGGGAGGAGATTGTGCACAGCATGGCAATACACAAGTCTGAGTCAAGTGGGCCTGTGTCTTATCATTATCCTATGTCACTCATCATCATCATCATCATCATCATCATCATCATCATCATCATCATCATCATCATCATCATCATCATCATCATCATCATCATCATCATCATCACTGAGTTCTTCACCCTGCACCAGGGTATGGCCCACGAACAAAAACCGTTAAGCTTTTCCTGTCCTGGGCTAGCCTCTTGATATTATTCCATGTCTTTCCTTTTTTCTGTGTATCTGTCACACGCTGGACAGGTAGTATTCAAATAGAGACAGTGGGCTGGAGACAATACTTAAGCTTTTTTTGAATGATTTGATTATCTCAATATAAGACACTTTTTTCTACGAAGTAAAATCACTGGACTCAATATAAAGGCTTTGGGCATCCTGTTCTCACTGGCAAAAAAAAAAGAAGACAAACAATGCAGGGGCACCTCAGAGAAATTTATTTGAAAAACCAGAACTGATGGGTGACGGGAAAGCGCCAAGAGGTGTCGCCATGTTTCTGGTTTAGTTTCCCGCGTCTACCACAGAACCTGTACGTCTGACATCTGGTTTAATTGACGGTTGGGGGCTGCTCCCGCCCCGCCCCTGCCCCTGCCCCCGCACCACCCCACCCACCCAATCTCTTGAACATAGTCCCGTCTGGCCACTTGATGCTGTATTTACTTGTCAATCACGGTCTTTATCACCACAATTTGTAATCTAAACGACACCGCAAAATGAAGCAATCCCCCCCCCCCAACCACTGCATTTACAAACGCCGTCGTATTTGATCTAAATGAAAATACCTTTGGCAGCGCTGTGGTAAGTTTTCAGAGCCGCGCACTTTCGAATGTAAAAAACTGTCAAGGCTGAGTACTGTCAGAGCCGTGCACTTTAAAGTTATATCGACATAATATTAATTTGATAGCAGTTGACCAGTTCCCAATATTGTGGGTTTGTCAATGTTCCTCGTGGTCAAGAACCTCACAACACACCATCATAACCTCCTTGGTCTTGGTCCGAGCCTTGCAGTACAACAAACCATCATAACCTCCTTGGTCTTGGTCCGAGCCTTGCAGGTCTTTGTGCAGCAATGTCAGTTAATATGATGAGAACTAGCCCGACTGCCGACCCTGAGTGTGAAGTTATTGTATCATTCAGAATGCCGTGTGATGTTGAGCAGCGCTGCTAGTAGAGCCTCCTTTATGGCTTATACATGTGCCATATTTTGTTCGGGTTCCTATTTTTCCAGGCATTCCATATCATCACACCGTCGCTTTTAATAATAGGTCTGTTGTCATTATTGAAGCCGTAGTTAATCTGTGTGTGCTAATGTGTTAATTACAGACCTATTCTCTTTTTCAGGAAAGGGAAGTGTGAGGATGCCCAGAGAACTGTTTTTATTCACCTGAAGGAGGACCCCTTGACCACTACACTTTTTGAGTGGGGAAAAGCAAGAATCGACGAGCCATGTTTTCTCACATTTCAAAACGAGGCTGTCGTACAGACGGCAGTGAAAGTCCAACGTCTGCGCTTTCTCATGAAGATGTTGTCGCGCCAGACAGCATATTCTTCACGGCGCCTCCCTCATCCTCCCCGTCCTCCTCCCCGTCCTCCTCCCCGTCCTCCTCCTCCTCCTCCCCTTCCTCCACCAAAGCGAACGTGTCCTTGGCAGAAGAGCACATGCAAACTCTATTGGATGGAAAAGTTCCCCCATTCTGCACTGCTAGCGGACACCCCCAACGCGACGGGCTGCCCAATGAAGAACTGAGACGTGGAAGCCAACTCCCCGGCTTGCTGTCTTGTGAACTAGGTCATGAGAAACAAACGATTCTAGTCTCTGGAGGTATGCCAGGGACCTCAGAAAAGGAGACAAAAGATTGCAGCCTCAGCTCGCCGAGTGTGACAGGGAGATCCGCAGGTGTCGGATCTGAAGAGCTCACCCAAGCTTCGCACAACGGCGCAGGTAGACGAGGTCTCCTTGATTTGCCAGAGGAAATTCTATCGGTGAGTTGTTTGTTCTTAGCCACACGCCTGGATCTATAAAATCATTAACCTCTGTGCAGATGAGACGTAGTTGTATATCATTGATGGCAATGTAGATCAGTTCTTTGATACAATCACAGCGGCTTCCACTCGTATAAAAAATATAATGTTGGATTACTAACACAAGACTTACTTTTTACAACAAAACCGTATCAGAAATAAAATGTTGGATTACTAGCACAAGACTTATCCTTTTAACAACAAAACCGATATCAAATTCTTGGAGATTCCGATGCATGCCCCAAAATCCT